CACACACACAAATCATCTATCACTCCCGTTACCTTAATCTCGACCCCTGCCGGCACCACGATGGGTCGGAAAGAGAGAGAGTGCGGACAGATCGGGGTGAGCAAAATGCAAGGCACGCTGGGATGGATCATGGAAGCGCCCGCCGCCACTGCGTACGCTGTGCTGCCTGTCGGTGTAGAGATGATCAGACCTGGGGGGGCAGACACAAAGACGTAATGGATAGAACAGCCATAATGACATTACAGATGCAAGGACATAATTATATATATATTTGTTGGGTTTTTTAAAAAGTGTTTTACGGCGCTCGCAACTGCATAAGGTCATATGAGCGAGTGGGACGCATTAAACTTTTTCAGTTGGTACGAAATTTTGAATTTTGCCCGGGTGGCGGCCGAAGCCTACTCTTATCGATTTTAGACCACCAAGGGATCTTTAACAGGCGCAACTTGCACATGGGCCCTCCAAGATTTTTCACCCTTGTCCGAGAAGGCTAGGTGTAGATCTTTCCCACTAGAAGATCAGGGGTGTGGCTGAAAGATAGCAGTAAGAAGGAGCCAAGGAGTAGCAGTAGAATGGCTGCAGAAAGAGTCAGAAGCCCAGAGGAGGGGGCAAAGCAGGTGAGGGGTGGGGGCAGAAAGAGGAGACGAAAGCAGACGACAGAACATTGCTGGAGAGCAGGAAAGGAGGTGAAAGGAGACAATATTAGAGAAGAAAATTTTTGGGTTGCTACCCGGATTCGAACCCGGCACCTTTTAGTGAGAGGCCAACACCTTAACCTCTTGGCCACGAGAGCCCCCGTAAATAATGATATAACAGTCATTAATGGTACAACAGATGCAAGGACATACTTATAACAGTCATTAATGGTATAACAGATGCAAGGACATACTTATAACAGTCATTAATGATAGAACAGATGAAAGGACATAATGATATAACAGTCATTAATGATAGAACAGATGAAAGGGCATAATGATATAACAGTCATTAATGATAGAACAGATGAAAGGACATAATGATATAACAGACATTAATGATAGAACAAATGAAAGGACATAATGATATAACAGTCATTAATGATAGAACAGATGAAAGGACATAATGATATAACAGTCATTAATGATAGAACAGATGAAAGGACATAATGATATAACAGTCATTAATGATAGAACAGATGAAAGGACATAATGATATAACAGTCATTAATGATAGAACAGATGAAAGGACATAATGATATAACAGACATTAATGATAGAACAAATGAAAGGACATAATGATATAACAGTCATTAATGATAGAACAGATGAAAGGACATAATGATAGAACAGATGAAAGGACATAATGATATAACAGTCATTAATGATAGAACAGATGAAAGGACATAATGATATAACAGTCATTAACGGTATTGCCGATGCAATAGGATATGTTAACATAATGGCCGAGGTACATAATGGTATCGCAGAACAGAAAACATAGTAGTTTAGTTTTTTATATTTTTTTAGTAGAGGATTTGCGATACTCGCAACTGCATAAGGTCATATGAGTGCCAAGGGGTGGGTGTCAACAGAGAAGTCTTTACAGGGAATCAGACTTACTCTGCTCACCTCTCTAGCTTCAACAGCTCAAAGTCTGCTTCGACTTTCAAGGCACCCCGGAAATAGCAGGTCACAAGAGAGTGACAAACATACAGAAGAAGTAGAGGAAAATGACAAAAGTAAGGATTAGGAAAGAAAAAGCAGCAGTTCCCTGTTGTAGATCAGGCACAGTTATGAGCATGACACTGTTGTATCAGCCCATTTACAATTCTACTGTGCACTAGAACGAGAAATGTCCCCCCTTTGGGAATGGCCTAAAGACACTACAGTCAGTGGCATCGCCCCCGGGGGTTATAATGGTTTAGAAGACTTGAGGACATAATGGTATGAAAGATGCAAAGACATAATGGTATGTATAGCAGATACCAGGAAACAATGATACTGCAGAAGCCAGGACATAATGGTGGGAGGGAGGACATAATGATGTAGCAAATGCAAGGACATGATGGTGTAGCAGCAGACGGGAGGACTTCCAGAACAGTCCAGAATGACCTACTTCCCCCCCAGACAGGCAGTAGACAAAAACACACAAGAAGACGTCTGTTGACCCAACTCACCATCTCCCTGCACAGAAGTGACCCGGCGACCTTCGATGTACAGGTCAAGGTTACTCAGGTAGGAGGATGGTCCACGATCAACCACGACTTCGTTGAGCACCTGTGGGGGGGGGAATAGACACATAAGATTTGTCTAGCTTCACCAATGTTTTTAGGACATTTTTAAAAATTGTATTTTTTTAAATGTAGGAGCTTTTACACCCCCATAAACACAATTTATACCACTTAAAAGGCGGGCTTCCAACCCTGCCTGTCAGAGCTAATCCAGGCTGAGACGGATACAACATCCCAGCAGAAAGATTAAGACACTAGATAAAGAATTGTCCCGGCCCGGTAATTGAACTTAGGTCTTCTGTGTGCCACAAAGAAGCGCTTAACTGCTACACCACAGACGCCAGTAGACAAACTAGTGGTCAAGAAAAGATGCCAAACATCCAGCTCTGACAAATTGGTTTAAGAGCACAATTAGTAAGATTTGATTTGGCTATCACTTCAACTTTCGTCTGCTTTAATTTATATAATTGTTTTTTAACTCTATCTCCAGCAAGTGCTCCTACCTGTGCAAGACCAACACCTGCGATTGGTGGATGTAGCGATCGAGACCTTGTCACACGCGACAGACTGGGGTTGTGACAGGTTTAAAACATCCCCATTGGTCAAAAATACCTTGCCAAGCAGTGCCGGTTGACACGTCGTGTGTGTGGTGTGTGATGTGGTTGCACATAAGGATACACACCTCGAGAGCGACGCGACTTTGTGTTGTGCGTAAGGAAGATATAGGCCTCAGCATATTTGAGTTTGGCCCCCCCTGAGTGACTGAGTTTTTTTAGTTTAGTTTTTGTAGAGGTTTTACGGCGCTCGCAACTGCATAAGGTCATATGAGCGCCAGAAGATTAGAGGTGTTACAAGAGAGTAAAAAAAATAAAAAATAAGAAGGGGAGATAAAGACGATAGATGTTTGATAGGAAAGAAGGAGCAAACCGCACCAAAGCACCTGCCAACTACCCACTCGACTGAGTTCTACGCACCTGGTCTAGTAGGTCACAGTCATAACAATGAGTATTTCTACCTCATTTCTAGTCAACCTCACAATACTGCCTTAAAAATATCATTATGGTCTGACAGTAGAAAGGGGAAAAAATCTTCCCTTACACAAAAGTGATCAGGGTCCATGGGGAAAAAAGCAAAAATGTCAGACAAAAAGCAATATGTTTAGGGTATGTTCAGGGTACCAGGTATGTTCAGGGTACCAGATATGTTCAGGGTACCAGGTATGTTCAGGGTACCAGGTATGTTCGGGGTACCAGGTATGTTCGGGGTACCAGGTATGTTCAGGGTACCAGGTATGTTCAGGGTACCAGGTATGTTCAGGGTGTGTGTGAATATGTATGCAAGTGTGTGTACATGTGTGCATGAGTGCGTGTATTTATTTATCTATACATATTATATTTGTGAAAGTCGTCTCTTTGGCAGCCTAAAACTTCGGAACCACTTAACTTTTGAATTTGATAAAATTAGTGGTGGTTCAGAATCATTTAAAGGGTGCACAGTTTCATTGAGGAGCCTGAAGTCACAGTAGTTTAATTTTCAGTTTTTCATTAGTTTCGTTTAGATCTAATCTTGGGAAAGTCCGTCTTCTAAGAAGCCATTGTAAACAAATGCCGTTTCTGTTCACTAGCCGTGCACACTGATTCCACACCTTTGAAATTCTGGAGTGTACAACCACGAAAGCGGAATAGAGAATCAATCTATACATCTATTATATATTTGGCAACTTGGAAACACGTGTCACTTTTCTCTGAAGATTTATTGCTCCATTCCAGTAGTGTAAATATAGTAGGCCACTGACTTTCAGTTGATGTTAATGCACCGATCATTTCTTTCATCGAAAGGGGCCCAGCTTGTATATACATATAAATGACCACTGACCAGTTTGTGCGTCTTGAGAGAGCCGTGTTCCTTCTGTATGTTTTTCACGTGGGGGATGTTTTCGTCGTCGTGGTTGGGATCGTGCCTCACCACCACACACTTCAGGCGGTACCGCAGCAGCAGTGACGCCGAACCTGGACACACACAGTCGACGAGACAGGAGGAAGAGAGAGCAAAAGTCAGTTTGACGTGAGAGAGGAGAAGCACATCCATATGAGTCATGACGAGGTGGAATCGGGCGCTCTTCAGTTTTTGGGTATGTGGAGTTATCGGTATCCTCTGAAAGCTGATTTATTTGCCTTGCTTCCAATGAAATAAATATCAATTTATCTCGAATAGAATTAGAGACATTTGTGATTGAAAGAAGTGAGGTCACCTGGCTTCAGTGGTGAAATTAGCGGAAAAAAAGTTTAGTAACTCAAATAGCTAAAGAGATTTTTTTAAACTGAAAAAAATAATATATTTTGTGCCTAAAATCAGTTTTTCAGTAAAAATTCACATGGAAATTTGTTTTTATATGGACCTAAAAGAGGTTAAGCCAAAAAAAACAAACATTTTTATAAAAATTACCATACTGGTGGAAAAAGACTTGCTTCTCTGGTTTTGTTATTTTGACGAGCGCCTGATTTCAACATGCTGCCTCACATAAGATGACTTACTACAAGGAAAAAGAAAGAGTGACGGGCAGAAGAATAGGGAAAAAATTATAATTCTTTACATATACCGGTATAGGTGTTTTTATGCCCCCCCCCCCCCCCCCCCCAAATGTAGTAAGTCATCTTATGTGAGGCGCGCTTCCGACCTCTCTTGTCAACGCTAAGCCGCGCTGGGATGAAAACACCATCGCAGCAGAAAGACTAAGATAGTCGATAAAAAGTTCTCCCACTCCGGAATCGAACTAGAGTCTCCTACGTGAGTGCGACAGTGAAGCACCTAACCGCTACACCACAAGAGCTTGTTTTGACACCAGTCACAAGACTTGATGCTGTACCCATTGATCTGAGAGCCTGTGGAAATCTATTAACAGGCCAGTTTTGATATGAACATTAGAGGGTAGGGGTTCAAATCCCTTTGCTTTTTCTCACCAAACGGCCAGAAGTAATCTCCCTCTTTTCCCCCATTCCTTTGCTCTTCATCTCCACACTACTAACAACAACATCTCCCCCCTCCCCCAGTCTCCCTCCCTTTCTCTCCACTCCCCCTCCCTCCCTCCCTCTCTCCCTCCCTCCCCTAGCCCCATTACGACAGCCAGCTTGAGATAAATAATCGTATTGCCGCTGACCTTTCATGACCCGGTTGACCTCCATCTTGAAGTCCTCGTAGAACTGGAAGGGCGTGAGGAACCCGAGGGAGCCCATGTTGAAGGCCATCACGGGAGGCACGCTGCCCTGAGGGAGATACAGAAGTCACGCAGTGTGAGAACAGAGAGGTAATGCATATCAATACCATGTTTGGGTGTTTGTCTGTTTTTTCGTTTGTTTGTCTGTTTGTTTGGGTAAAGAGATGCACATCGACACAATGTTTTGTTTGTTTTAGTAGAGGTTTTACGAAGCTCGCAACTGCATTAGGTCATATGAGTGCCAAGGGGTGGATGTCAACAGTGAAATCCAAACAGGGAATCAGGCTTACTCTGCTCACCTCTCTGACCTCAACAGCACTAAGCCTGCTTCGACTATCAAGGCACCCCGGAAATAGCAGTTCACAAGAGAGTGACAGGCATACATAAGAAGTAGAGGAAAAATGACAATAGCAAGGATGAGGAAAGAAAAAGCAGCAGTTCCCCATATGTTGTTCCAGCACAGTGTGAGCATGGCATTGATAAATCAGCCCATTTACAATTTTACCGTGCATAAGAACATGTTAATATCCCTCCTTTGGGAATGGCCTGATGACATTTCAGTCAATAGGACCTGCCATTGGTTAGTTCGTTTGAGTAAAGAGAAGCCCATCGACAACAGAACTGTCATATGGTCGCTTTTAAGGACAAAGGGGCTAACCCAGATTTCAGGGGTTTCCAGAAATCGTGACCTACACCAAAAGCGGGCATTGCCCTACTTATAGGGGAAGTTTGGTTTCATTGGTGTGTATATTTGTTTGGTTAAAGAGAAAACTCTCCTTGTCTTTTAATGGGACCGAAGAACTTTGATTTTCTCAAAACAGCATTTATTGGGATAGCGAACTCGTGCTTAAAAGCGGCCATATAGTGTATGGAAGAAGCAAGACAAAGGCAGAAACAATAGAGGGAAAGAAAAAAAATTGAGTTTGAGTACAGGTAAGTACATCCTCACAGTGACAATATAACATCTATTTAGTGCAGGGAAGAAGCAAGACAGATAGAAACAACGGAAGGAAAGAAAAGAAGTAGGACCTACCAGTGGCGCCTTCCAACCCCTCGCTTCAACGTCACAAAGAAGAAGAAGATTTGATGTAAGTTTTACTAAGAGTTTTACAGCACATGCAACACAAATAGGTCGTATAAGTGCTGAAGGTTGGAGGTCTTATTAGAGAGTAACGTACAAAGAAGAGGAGGAAGAGAGATAAAGACGACAGAGGTTTGATGGGAAAGAAGGAGAAAACAACACCAGAGTACCCGCCAATCACCCATGAAGACAGAGAATGACGACCGATGTTAGAAAAGAAAGAAGGAGCAAACCAAAACCAGAATGCCCGCCAACCACCCACCGCGACATTCAGAGGTTTGACCAATAGCAACAGACCTGGAACAGCGACGAAGCGTAGAGCAGCGTTCCGTCACCGCCCAGACAAATGATGAAGTCCACCTTGTCCGTTAGGTCATCTACTCCTGGAGACAAAGAAAAAGTTGTCTTAAATATCAGAGTTTTTATACCCCCGTGAACACAATTTAGATCATTTAGGAGGTGGGCTTATATTATTATTAATAAT